CACGATTCCTGAAAGCAGGCTAAAGAGAGCCTTCCGCTCTACTTTCCGGCGTAGTCCGGAGGGACTACCGGCCCACCAGCATTACTGGCTAATGAGAATGGAACACCCAAAAGTTTTTTTTTTTCGAGATATGAAAACATAGATACTTCTACGATAGAGTAGTTTTTATTAGAATCAATAAATTTAAATCTAGTAATCAACAATAAGGAAAAATAATTGAATTCCATTATGTGAAAAAACCCATATGCCTATTACGTACTGACGTCATTACTGCATGTCTTTGTTATTGTTAGAGTGATCCATGATGGTTATGAATCTCGGAATTCTCGGAATTCTAGTCGGTTTTGTTTTAACTACACAGACACACTGTTCTAGAAAATTTCGTGGGGAAAAGATATCCTCAAAGCTATCGGAATAATTATTTTTATAGTTGCCGCGAACGACCAATAAACATTGATGCTCTTGCTCAGTCGGTAGCTTTAATGTCGGGAATTAAGTGTACATTTCGCGAAGAATAAAACGAGTCCTGTGGCCGTTCGTTAACGTAAAATTTAGTCGGGCAATAAAGTTCATCCGAGCGATCGATAAATTTCGAACAGCTATTATGTACTTGTCGTTTACAGGCTTGTTTGCATTCGACGCTATTTGACTAACTGAGACTGACCCGTGCTTGTCATAACCCGACGTAGTGGCGCTTTGCGAATACGTAGAAACTATTTTGAATACTTATGTAAGTTGTATAATATGCAATAGCGCCTATTTATAAGATTTTGCAATGTATTGTCCGAGATTCAGTGACGATCAGATTAACTTGTGGGCAGGGTAAATATTTAGCATAACAATAACTGAATGAGCTAATATTGCTGATGGACCGAACTTGGGATATGGGACTATGTAAAAATAGTTTTACGTGGAGATGAATTTTCCAAGTCCAAGTACGTTTCTTACGAACGCTGATGCCATCAACGTAAGAAGAATATGAAAATACTAGCTACATATAGTTTAAAAAGACCTATGAAAAAGTCCACGATGACATACACAAGGATAGAGCAGGGTCGAGTCTCCTTTAACAAAAAGATGCGACTTCTATGCTCGCGAATTAAAGAAATTCGAAAAAGATTGAATCTCCGTTATGTATCTATAACATAAGACGGTGGGGGTGGTGGACAAAAGTTAGAAGCGTTCGAAATGATGAGGATTCAGTGGATAGAGAAGGTTAGAGGTGAAGAGGTACTACTAGAAAGAGAGAATAGAGGCTGCTATGGAAGTCAATAAGAAATAGGCGAGAGAGGTTGGTAGAACACCTTTTCGGGCATGAAGAGCTAGTTAGAAACATATCAGAAGCAGAAGAGGGAGTTAAGAGGATTAGAGATAGCACCTACATTAGATTACTGTTTACACTTAGTTAAGGATGTGGACGCTCTTGGTTTAGCGAAATGCAAAGATTAGCAAAAGATACGAAGGAGTGGAAGTGCGTATCTTACCAGTCTCAGGAGTGACGTTCTTATGACAATGATAATGATAGTCACAAAATGAATTTCAAGTGGCGATCACTAAACTAATGAAACTACAGGCCTGACGCTGGAAGCTGGCGGAAATTTTAAAATGGCGTGGATGCGCGGTGACAAAAGTAGGCAGTTTTAGGTATAATGATTGCAGCCCTCTTTCTTCAGTATTCCTATCAGCGGCGTAGATTAAATATTCAAAATAAATATCTGAAAGCTTATTTGTGTATTGGTTCCGAGTGACCTACCCAAAGAGGTCATAAACGGGCAAGTACCTGCGCGACCGTTCGCCAGCTTCCAGCGTCAGGCCTGTACTTATCTTTGCATTTTTAATGGTTTGCAGCTAGTTCTTATTGGCCACTTCTATCTATTTTATGAATATTATTCAATCAAAAATACATGAAACGCTAGTATCCAAATTCTCAGCATATGTACTGTGAACACTGTTTGGGCTTAGCGGAGCTGGAATGAAAACAGCTATCCGCATGCCCCCCTGTAAATCCAGCTTAACAAGAAACTCTACTGAAATGATACAGCGAAGTTAATGAATGCGGCGGCTGAAGAAAAACTAAACCAACATTTAGAGCATGGAAGTTGGTGGATAAACAAGAATTAGTCATATGCTAAATTATGTTAGATGTTAGCAATGTATGCAATTGATTGGAATACTGACCAACTAAGTCAGGATTAATCTATTCATCAAAACCCGAACTTGAGTTCTGCACAAGTGGAATAATACCAAGAAATACTCACAATGATTATGGACTCACTCACTCAACGCCTTACCAGCTAATAAACCTATTGGTGGTTCAACTTGAGTGTCCAATCAAACAATATTGTTTTTTAATCCTAAATGAGTAGTATTCCTTCCAATTAAGCTATCATGGACAAACTCTAATTTCAAACGCAAAATATTGCCATTAGAAGATTTGTAGGTAAACATGTGTATTAGATAAAAAAACAATCCATATGGGCATCCTAGAGATAACGGCGTACCGAATCAAAATAGTACATAATATGAATTATTGGATGTCACCCATTTAACGCCTTAGTAGCTAACCGACCCGTTGGTGGTCTAATTCGAATGTCCAATAAAACGTTTTAATTTTTTATATCCTAAAGGAGGTAAATAATTAGTATTCGTTCAAATTAAGCCGACATGAGCAAACTCAAACTTCAAATGTAAATGATTGCCGTTACAAGGTTTGGAGATAAATTGTTCATGAAAATATAAATGAAACAGAGATGAGAGGGCATGAATAATTCCATCGAATGTTAGATAAGCCAGATTACATAATGAAATCTTAAAAAGTTCTAAAGGTACCAATTTGCGCCTATAACTTTTATTCTGTAACGCATTTAGTGCTCAAGATTGTTTTTACAGGAGAGTCTTAATCGCTGGTTTCCGGAAATGAAGTTTACCATGTTTCGTTTCCAAGAATATTGCTTTCGTCTGATTTGGAGACCGATAAGTATCAATAAAATCGGCTTCTATAGGAGCAACCGTCTTTTTTTAATATCATCATAGCCTCGCTGTCGACCAAAGACAGTGAAGGCGACTCTCTAGGCTCCTCCCGAACCTAGATGAGACTAGAAATAAACTACCGCCTTCTTTAAGCCGATTGGCCGTCGGTTGTCGTTAACAAAATCGTAAATAGCTTAACTATAGCGCACCTATTTCTATCATAGCAATTGTCATCATTACGACATTATTAAAATAAGTAAGGACACCTCTAATAATCACTTATGTGTGCATCACAAATCCAGTACAATAGCCGAAATTAATGAACCAATGAACTTCGAGTAGGTACCATGCCATTAACATAGTTTAGAACGTCGTGACATGAGTATCAAACTCAATTTTTCTTAACCCAAGAGGCACTTTTGCGTAGGCAGGTATATCTCAGAACACAGAACTAACACACTTAACATCTCATAAATAATCTGTTACCTAGATACTATTGTAAGATATTTCAATCTCTTTTCTAGTAGATATTCCATAAGGTCATCTCAGGACACTGGAGTAGAGAAAAACAACTTATGGGTGGTTTTTTGATATAACAAAGGAAAACTTCAAAAATACAGACAATTCAAGCTGCACCTACAGTCATAACCGGTCCATTAGGACTGATAAAACTAAGCCTGTTACTTAATGAGCACCTACAGATAAAGAAAGTATATTTTATTGAAATTAATCGGCGTCATAAAAATTTCATTGACAGTATTTACTGTTTAACAAGCAATTCACCCAGCTTTTAAAGAAGAAGTTTGTAACACAAAAGTCATTCATCGAATGTATACCTAACTTAATGAAATTGACTCTACAAACAGACACAAACTTTGAATGTTTTGGATGAGTTTCTTCATAAATGATAATACGAAACACCTATAATTAGTCGAATGGAAGGAAATGAATGGGTTATCTACAGGTAGAGGTATATGCAAACTAAAATTGTATACTTAGCAAGTATATAAATTTTTCAATTTAGAAGATAATTTATTACTTATCTTCCATCCAAAACTAAATAAATATTTGAAGGTGCACTTAATACACCGATAATGAGTATTTATGAGATATTTTTGACGAAAAGATGAAAACTGATGAATTACTGCAAATGGTAATGGTAGAAGTCAGAAGCTTGATGGGCATTCCAAAGGAGGAGGAAAAATTTTCACATCTCATGCAAGAATAGCCTACTCCTAATTCCTGCATTATTTTCAGAAAATACTTATTGTGTTGCTTTCGAAAATGAAAAAATAGGTATAAAGAATGTCTATGATCACTTGCTTTCCTACAGATGTTGGTAAAATTGTACACCGGAAGAGGACAAAATTTGTGAAGTCTGGGAGAACCGACAAGCATTAAGCGACTCCACAAACAGAGATTTCGCATTTGAGTTTCAAATGGTGTTAATGCAGTAACTTCTCAATCTTTCGATTGCTAAATTAGCGCTTAAAAATTATAAGCACACAATCGCCTATCCCTAACGATTTTTGGCAATACAAAAAGTAAAAATATAATGACAAACCTTGATGCTACCTACTATGAGTGTTGTTCAGAACTACTTCTACCCTACAATTCGTAATCCCTAAATCAATATCCATTACGCAATAAAAATATTGCAATGGTCACATAAGGAAAAGGCATCAATTACTAGCCGCAATATGGATGATTAATGAAAATAAAATGTAAAATACAGCAAGGCGTTTAATAATACCAGCACATAGATAGAACGTTATCATCGAGAGTAATTCTAGAAAAAATCACAAAAAGTCTATAAGGAGTCGTAGTTTGAACCAAGTCAAGCAAATTGCAGTTACCTTGCACGTGGGGACCAATGCAAATAGGTAGAGACACAATTAACTTCGTTTAGGGGATAAACCAAAATGAGGAAACAACACAAAAAATGAGAATGATTAGTAATGGTTATAATGGCAGTGATAATGGTTAGTTATAATATTAATTTATAATAATAATAATAGGAGTAACAACACCTTTCTGACATTGATTATGTAATGCGAATTGAACGCACGTTGGCGGCGACGGACAACAATGTTTCGCAGCGTCAGCAGGAGCCAGGAGTTGAACTGCACCAGCAACTAATCAAGATGAAGAGAGACCACTTAGGACGACACTTGTTCGCGAAGTATCACAGCCATGTCGTCGTCATTCCACATTTATACGTACAATAAATATATAAAAACGCACTTATTCTTTTTTTTTTTTCGAGAACCGATAAAATAAATAAATATCACACTCGCGGAAAAATTCGCGAACACTCGTCGGCCAACTTGGCTGTAAGTAGATATTTCCCGCGAGATGAGAAATGAGAAAGAGACGGCCCGCTCGTGCGAATTGCTTGCTACAATATGTGTCTGTCTGTCTGTCGTAAGTAAAGTAAGTACTGAGACTGTTGTGGGCACCGAAATGCGGAATCCGATGGATACGTACCTGGGTACGTTTCGGAACGAACTGACCACGTGAGAACAGAATGAAAATTGAATCGCTGCTGATGCGGCCTATCAGATCAATCGGTGTCGGTGTTGCGTTTTTGGGGTGCGTTTTGCGTTTGTTTGTTGAGTAGTGGTTTTTAGTGTTTCGGAGCCCGGAAGGTGTTCCATCGGAGCACGAGGTCGCCGGCCAACTGTCTAAGCGTGATGTCAGCGCAATCGGGCGCACTCGCGGACCGTCGCCCCCGCACCCCCACCACCGCCGTCCGTCGCCGCCGCGATGCACACGCACTCCGTGCCGCTCGGCCAACTGCGAATCTACGAAATTTGCGACCGACGTCGAACTGTTGTATCGGCGGCCTCTCTAGTCGAAGTCGGCGGCGGTTATTTTACGCCGCGTCCCGTCAGTCCGCCGCATGTGCAGCAGACAAAGAGAGAGAAAGGACAAAGGAGACGCAGATAGACGACGACGACGTCGACGAAAACGCATCGCATCAGCCTGCAACCGTCGTGCGCCGCCGCCGGCGCTATGCGTCGCGACGCTGCAACGAACGTTGCGTCTTCTTCGTCTCCTTCCTTCTTCGCTGCGTTCGTCGTCCGTCGGTCGCGAAGGTTCAAGTGCAGGAGCGACGGAGCAAGGACGTCAGCGACGCTTTCCGGCTTATACGACGATTTGGCTGGAAATAGGAACTGAATTTACTTAACTATTTACCAGAAGAAGCGTTAAGTTAAATCCGTAGAAACAAAAGGATTGCTTACAACACTAAAAGAAAAGGTTCAGTTATTTCGTATTATTTAAGGATAATGATAACGAATACAAGACAAAAGTAATATTGGATATCCTCATCTATTCACTACCATCATCAAAATAAAAAAATAAGCATTACAAACTAAAACTGAACACATTTGCTTCATTGTTATGTAATAACGAAAATTGTTACATGTTTATGACCTGCTTTAATGACATTATATGCATATTACGATGAGTTATTTAAGGAATGTGAAGCAGAGAAATAACTGCTCTAAATAATGTATAGATACACTTCATGCATTAAAACTCATCAAGGAAGAAACGACAAACCAGTTGCTCCTTTAAGATTTTTTTACTATTTGATCTTGTGGATGTTCCCATTTCACCATAGTTCTTCCATCTTCGATGCTGAATGTAGATGTGGATATCCAACACCGGAGGTGGAAGTAGATGTAGATATGCATCATCGGAACTGGAAGTAGATGTGGATATGCAGCACCGGAGATGGAAGTAGATATGGATATCCAGCACCGGAGATGGAAGTAGATGTGGATATCCAGCACCGGAAATGAAAGTAAACGTGGATATCCAGGACCGGAGATGGAAGTAGATGTGGATATCCAGCACAGGAGATGGAAGTAGATGTGAATATGCAGCACCGGAGATGTAAGTAGATGTGGATATGCAGCATCGGAAATGGAAGTAGATGTGGATATCTAGCACCGGAGATGGGAGTAGATGTGGATATGCGTCATCGGAAATGGAAGTAGATACGGATATGCAGCACCGGAGATGGAAGTAGGTGTGGATATGCAGCACCGGGGATGGAAGTAGATGTGGATATCCAAGACCGGAGATGCAAGTAGATGTGGATATGCATCATCGGAAATGGAAGTAGATGTGGATATGCAGAACCGGAGATGAAAGTAGATGTGGATATGCAGCACCGAGGATGGAAGAGTAGATGTGGATATCCAAGGCCGGAGATGGAAGTAGATGTGGATATGCAGCACCGGGGATGGAAGTAGATGTGGATATCCAAGGCCGGAGAAGGGAACAGATGTGGATATGCATCATCGGATATGGAAGTAGATGTGGATATGCAGCACCGGGGATGGAAGTAGATGTGGATATCCAAGGCCGAAGATGGAAGTAGATGTGGATATGCATCATCGGAAATGAAAGTAGATGTGGATATGCAAAATCGGAGATGGAAGTGATGTGGATATACAGCACCGGAAGTGGAAATAGATGTGGATATCTAGCACCGGAGATGGAAGTAGATGTGGATATGCATCATCGGAAATGGAAGTAGATCTTTATATCCACCATCGGAGATGGATGTAGATGTGGATATGTAGCACCGGAAATGAAAATAGATGTGAATATCTAGCACCGGAGATGTAAGTAGATGGGGAAATCCAACACCGGAGATGGAAGTAGATGTGGATATCCAGCACCGGAAATGGAAGTAGATGTGGATATACCTACGGGCCGCTAAAGCCTTCACCAATTTGTCAATGCTTCAGGAGCTTTAGAGATAATGGAGAAACACCAAAAGACTTATTGTGTGACAATATAAAATAAAGCCGCATAATTTTAGTCGAATGACCATTTACATTTACTACTCTTTCAAAGGGGATGAAGTTGAAGATCTCAGGAAAGGGGCTTCCCTGAAAAGAAATATTAATGTGTGAATTGCGATTATGAACCCACTACCACGCACATTCTCCTAATAAACAGCATAAGGAATGCAGACAAAATATTTTCGCACATTTTGATGTTTACCTATTATACATTACGCTATTCAATGGTGTTGTTTATATAAGTGCACGTGTGTGTGCCTGTTTGTATAAATGCAAACGGCTTACGTATATACATTTATGTATGTATACATATATGCACGTAAATGTAAAGCAGATACCGCGGTAGTAAAGATCATTCACGGTACTAGCAACGGAAGGAGAACTGCTTATTAGAACTCACTTCTGATGGAATGTTGTCTTAAGAGATTGAACACGGGCAAATTTTTCGCAAGTATTACTAGCAAGCAAGCCAACTTGCACTACTTGGAACTGATGGCTTGCAGAAACAACCATCATAGGTGCAAAAGAAAACCCTTCTGTCTGCGTAACAGACAAGAAATTAACAATGGAACAATATAAAGAAATGTTAAATGTGATACGGCGGCTCATATAATCGTATGTTTAACCAAGAAAGCTCGCCTCGTTGTTCAATTGTTTTATTGAAGGATCCGCTTTACGTATAATCAATTGATTGAAGAGGCTTCAAAAAGGTATTGCGTATCTTCCGTTTTAGCCCTAGCAAACATACAAGGATTTTGAAGGTTGTTTTCATTTGTGTTGTGAAACAACATTCTCGAGGTGGTCACAAACAAAATTGGTAGCAATCTAATGATTATTGACTTCCAGAATAGTCTAGAAACGCCACAGAACAAATGATCGAGTTATTAGTTTGTTGAAGATTTTGAAGTTTTCTCCAATCTATTCTGTCTTTCATCTTCAATTTGAGTTTTTGAATATTAACGTTTTATCACAGGAAAGTTGCTCTTCTTAACATAGATACCCATATTTGTAAGGGATATTTAAAATTTAACAATAGAAAACTCCCAGAAAAGGAGTGCCCATTTAAGAAAGAAAACAAAAGAGACGTTCTGAAGCAAAAACAACACTGAATAGTAAAAAAAAAACCACAAAGCTTATTGCCCATAGCCTGATTATGGCGTAACAAAATGATGTGTTCATCTTGTTTATATTCAAATTTTTGTTTTCTCTTAGTTATCTGTATTAGATGTTAGATCGCCTCCAAAAAAGGAATTGTATTACGTATGTATAGTGCATAGGCTAAGGGTGGGGCACTCCTTTGGAGATTTTAACTTCCACGTAACGACATTACCCAATAAGACGAATGGGTAGATATCTAAAAAGAAAATGTAAATAATGCCTCAGATCGCATGTTAATTTCCTCCCATCTTGTGTATGCGGTTTTTCACCTCTCCTTTGCCGGGAAATTTCACAGTTTTCTTTAAATGTAGTATAGCAACCATGCTCATCGAGAAAAACTGGCAACAATGTTCTCTATTCAAACAAAGTATAGAGGAAACTTTTGCATCATTTTAGATATAAAAACGCAAACGGCATACAGGTTAGCATTAAACAAAGCGTCTTGAGTTACCTGTGTGAGCGGAATGCTTACGATATTAAAATTTACGTTAGGTTAATATTCAGAGTGGTCCAGCACATGAGTCAAAATATCCGAGGTTGGGTCTCCGCTCTGGCCACACGCAACTACATCATCATAAGGTCGTCAGTCCTAAGACTGGTTGGACACGCACCTCCACTCCTTCCTATCTTGAGCTAATCTTCGCATTTCCCTAAAACTAGAAAAACCCACATCCTAAATCAACTATTTGCGAACATTAATGTAATCTAGGTCTACCTCTACCCCTCCTAACTTCCGTTTCTGCCTCTAATATCTCTCTGAGTAGACCTTCATGCCTGAGAATGTGTCCTACTAACCTATCTCGCCTATTTCTTATTGACTTCCATGGAGTCCTCTGCTCTCCTATTCTTTCTAATATCTCTTCATTTTTAACCTTCTCTATCCACGGTATTCTCATCATTCACCGGTAAGATCACATTCAAATTTTCCGATTTCCCTACTTGCCTCATTGTCTTAACATTCCACGCTGCGACTCGTGAAATATTGCACCTATCCCTATTGCGCTTATTGATGACATCCCCCGAGGTAGTCCCCGCCCGGACATCCCAATGCGGGACTAGTTTACGTCCGGAGTGCTTTAGTACCGTCATTCGGGTTTGGTGTGTTTTTCTTGGGATATCATGATGTGGTGGTTTCCCGTTGCCTTCTACATCAGTACTATAAGATAAAAATACACAAGATATGTGTTTGAGTTCAAGTGATGAGTTGTCTTGAAATGTAGCAATTGATTAATATTAATTTCTTTCTACGTAAGAACAATAATGCTGAGGGATATTTTAAAATTAATTATCAAGGCAAAATCAGTTTGAAGTTTGAGGCCAAACTTTTGTTGAGAATTTGACCGTTATTAGGCACGTCTTTTATAATTTTTGTATTAAATTCTTGACTCGTCACAATCGTTTTTGCAAGCACACATTGGTACACATACTTATGTTACATCAAGTCATACACATAAACACATATATTATAATACACATACACAATGGTGGTCTTACAGCATTATAGCAGCAGATCCTATACAGTACATGTATACAATACTTACGAAATTCGCCAATATTCGAGGTCACGACCTTCAAACGGACTGCGTGCTCGATTTACGTTATAGTTATGTAGTTATACGGCAGTTTGCATTAACCACAGTGGCGTAACAGGCAGATTTCTTTATTTTATTATTTTAGTTCTCTCATCTTCATTAGCTGATCTTGAAATTTAAAGAAAAGAAAACGATTTCCCACTTTTTACTAGTGATGACTACATTTTGATTGTCTTAAACCACGAAAATTGTGATTTAAAATGCTTACTGTAGTTTCTAAACAATTTGGTCATTGTAGTCAGTCCTGTACTAAGAAAAGGAAATTTTGAT